CTATTTGGGGACTTTTATCCTTCTATATCAATTTTAGATTTTTTTTTTTTAAGTTCCTCAAACATCCTTCCCATAGCCAGCTACTGGCACAAGTGGATTTAGTATAGGGAATTGGCTGGACAAGTGTCAAAGGATTGAAAAGGCAGAAAAGGGACCCCAATGTCATGCTAACATGTAACTGCAGGAAACAGCTCCCACTCCCAGGACTAGGGGGACAAGGGAAAGGAGCTGGGGTCATCAGAACCCAGGACCTGGAGGAGGGGTCTCACAGCGCAGAGATTCGGATCTCTGAGGAGAGGGCATGAGCCACGTGCTCTTGTACCACAGGAGCTGAGATGGAAGTTCTCTCTGTTACCTCTGACGGGTGTGATGATTGTGGGAATGCAGAGAAACACTAGAAGCTGGAACCAACGCTGCTGCCAGGGTGATGCTGACAGGAAAGGCAAACACACAGGAGGGAGGATGACCCTTCTCCATCCTGCAGTCTTCCAGTCTCCTTTTAGTGCCCTCTGCTGGCAGGTCCTAATGGGGAGCTGCTGGCAATGAGGACATTGAGTTGCAGAGTTACAGCCTCGCCTTTGCGGAGTGGAGTACGGAAGACGAGGAGCTGAGAGATGATAACACCGCCTCCCTCAGCTCTCTCTGCTTGACCCCAGCCCCGGGGGAAAATTCGTATCTGGAGGTTGAGGACAGGGATGGCAGAAGTCTTGCTCCTACCCGTGATGTTTTCTTCCAAATAATTTGTCTCTGTTGCAAGTACTTTTGTAGTATGTTCTCTACCTGGTACTAGGGCCTATTAGCGTGTTTTCCAGAGACACCCAGGCCTGGAGACTGGGCTGTTGTGGCATGGGGAGGCGAAGGACGGCAAAAGAGGACTGTGTTTGTGCCTAAGTGGGCTGAATTGTGCTGTATGCCCTTTGATCCACATTACATATAGTGCAACCCTGAGACAGACGAGGGCCTCTGGCTCAGACAAGGTGGTCTCTTGTCTATAATCACACCCACTCAGGCACAGAACTGCCCAGTTTTAAACCTGTAAGTAGCTTCCTCGAGTAAGTAGATAAAGACAGCAGCACCAGTCTGCATTCATCTTCAGCACACAGAGCTGGCACAAATGGAGGCAGTCAAGCTTCAAAAGGTCTGGTATGACCCTCACTCAGACACTGTCACTCACAAGTGTGAGCCAATTGCCTGGGCCCCTCTCCCTGGCCCCAGTAATGTCGCTCATCTCTCCACCCTGTGTCCTGACTGCGTGGCCTCCTTCTGTTTACTTTAGATAAGTAAACATTGTTTGATTTATCCCAGTAACGTCTGTGCCTGGGTTTTTCTTTAATCCAAGTCCACTATTGACATTTGTCTATACCGTATAGTGGTAGTGCAATTTTCCATTACCTGAGGGGCTTCAGTTTTGAAATGCAAAAAGTCAGGGGGGAAAATCCTTTTTTTCTTTGCATTTTTGCTATCATCTCCTCTCCAGAAAGAATCAGCACAGAATGGCCTACTTGCTTCCAAGTAGAAGGTGGAGTGGGAAAGAGACGAGTCACAGTTGCTTTTTTTTTAACATTTTGATTTTGTATTATATACATTCAGTTCACAAAACAAAGATGTGCAGCTACGAAGTGAGCATCTGTGTAGCCATGAACCAGGGCAAGAAATACAATGTCACCAGATCCCCAGAAGTCCCGGCGTGCCCCCTCGATGTCACTAACATCAACCTGCCCTGCAGATGTCACTGCCCTGCTGACTGTGAGGTTTGGACTGTGCCAACTTGGCTAAGCCGGAATTAGGCTTCCGGAATCCTTGAGTTACATGAAGAGTAACTCAGAGTTGGGCCTCTTCCAGCTCCAAAATTGTTTTTCTTGTGCAAAATTTGGAAGGTAGAAGTGAAACAGCAGCCATTACTTTCTGAAGGTCACCATGGTTAGATATGGTGGCAGACAGATGCAGAGGTCCCTCTGGATCCCAGCTTGTCCTCACTTTCCCCTGCCTGCTGAACCAACAGCGACCCTAGCTCACAACCAGACAATCAGCTGCCAACTCTCAGACATGGCAGCTATGAAGAGGCACCAGCCTCTTCTTCCCTCCACCAGGCCCAGCCCACCAGCTGCGTGTGACGGGTTGCTGGATCTCCTAGAAAGCTCTGAATGTCCACCCCATGCCAAACAGAGCTTCAGGGGGTTGGTTAGTAGCTATTCTCTCTCCTTCAACTCCCCTTTCTGAACCTCTACTCTCCCAACTTCTCCCACAACTACATAAGGTCTAATTCCTCTGCTTAATCCCCCATTTCGCAATATTCGTAGGGTTCCATTTCCCTGATGGAATGCTGACTGATACACAGACTTCCATGGTAATCACTTTCTTGCTTTTCTTTACAGTGTTATTATCAACTGAGCATGCATCCCTAAACACTGTTAATTTTGCCTGATTTTTTTTAACAATATATGAGTGGAATCATTCAGTGTTTATTTTGTGTCCAGTTTTATTTACTCAACATTATGTCTGCAAGATTTATCCACACTGTTGTGTGAAGCTGAATCTTAATCGTTTTCTTTCTTTTTTTTTTTTTTTTTTTTTGCTGAGGAAGATTTGCCCTGAGCTAACATCTGTGCCAATCTTCCTCTATTTTGTATGTGGGTCACTGCCACAGCATGGCCGCCAATGAGTGGTGTAGGTCCGCACCTGGGAACTGAACCTGGGCCACTGAAGCAGAGTGTGACGAACTTAACCACTAGGCCATGGGTCTGGCCCCCTATTCGTTTTCTTTACTGTGAAAATTCCTTTGTGTAACTAGCTCACACTTAATTTGTTTGTTCTATTTTTGATGAACGTTTGGGTTGTCCATTTGGACTATTATGAATAATGCTGCTATAAACATTCTTGCATATGTCTCTTAGTGCACATATGTATGCATATTTGTTATGTACATATCTAGGGGCAGAACTGCTGAGTCATTGAGTATGTGTGTCTTCAAGTTTAGTAAATAAAATCAAATTGTTTTTCAAAGTGGTTTATCAGTTTACATTCCCACCAACATCACAGTTAGTATTACCAACCTTTTCATTTTAGCCATTCTAGTGGATATGTATGGGAAGCTCATTTGGGTTTTAAATTTCGTTTCCCTGATAATGAGGTTAAGCACATCTGCAAATATTTATTAACCATTTTTTAAGTCTGTTCTAGTCTCATGCTCATTTTTCTATTAGGTGTTGTTTTGTTTGGTTATTTTTTCTCATCAATTTGTAAGAATTTTTCATATACTTTGAATATAAGAACTCATTTTAAGTGTATTGACATGTGTATACACCAGTTGTTGAAAAGCCTACCCTTTCTCTACTGAATTATCTTGGCAGTTTTGTCAAAAAGCAATTACTCATATATGTGAGGGTCCATTTCTGGACTCTCTTCTGTTCCACTGATCTATATGTCTATATGCCACACTGTCTCATTTATTATAGCTTTACAGTAAGTCTTGAAATCAGATAGTTTAAGTCCTCCAATATTTTTCTCCTTTTTGAAAACTGTATTACTATTCATGGTTCTTTGCAATTTCAAATTTAAAAATCAGTTTGTCAATTTCTGGTTTTAAAAAGTCTGCTTGGATTTAGGTTGATCTATAGATTCGATATCCCAATTCGGAGACCATTGACATCTTAACAATGTGGAGTCTTATGATTCATGAACATGGTATATATGTCTATTTGCATGTTAAATTTCTCTCAATGTTCTTTAATTTTCAGTGTACTAGTTTTTTTATTATATTTTTAAGTGTTTCATGTCTTTGACATTGTATTAAATGAATCTTTATATTTCATTTTCCAATTGCTTGCTGCTAGTATATAAAATTGCAATCAATTTTTGTGTATTATACTGTATCCTGCAGCTTTGCTAAATTCACTTTTTAGTTCTAGTAGCCCTTATGTATATTCCTTGGAATTTTCCATATAAACAATCATATCACTTGCAAATAGACACAGTTTATTTCTTACTTTTCAATCTGTATACATTTTATTTCTTTTCCTTACCTTATTGCAATGGCTAGGACCTCCAGTACAATGTTGAATAGTAGCAGTGAGAATTGCATCCTTATCTTGTTCTCCATCTTAGGGGTAAAGCATTCACTATTTCACCATTAAGGATGATATTAGCTGTAGGTTTTTCATAGATGCCCTATAGCAGTTTGAGGAGGTTCCTCTCTTTCCTAGCTGCTAAGAGATTTTACTATAAATGGATATTAAATTTTTTCAAATGCATTTTCTGCATCTATGGAAATTATCATATTGTTTTTCCCCTTTATTCTATTTATATGATGAATTACATTGATTCTCAAATGTTAAACCAACCTTGCATTTCTGGGATAAATCCCATGTGGTCATAGTGTATTATCCTTTTTATATACTGTTGGATTCAATTTGCTAAAATTTTGTCAAGAACTTTTGTGTCTATGTTTATGAGGGATATTGGTCTGTAATTTTATTGTATTTTGTTTTTGGAATATCCTACACAGATTTTGGTATTAGGGTTATGCTTTCTTCAGAAACATTTTTTGACCTTGTTAATTTTTTGATCTTTTCTATGTTGATTTGTGTTTTTTCTTTATTTTTTTTTTTTTTCATTCTCTTACTTTGGGTTTACTTTGCTCCTCCTTGTTTTGTTTTCCCTTAGGTTTTTTTTTGTTTTTTTTTTAATTCCCGTAGCTTTTTGAAGGGTGGCCATGGGCATTTATTTTGGACTTTTCATCTTTTCTAATATAAGCATTTAAAGCTATACATTTCCCCGGAAACACTGGTTTAGCTAAATCCACAAATTTAGATATTGTATTTTCATTATCATGCAGTCTGAAACATTTTCTAATTTCTTTGGGATTTCTTCTTTGACCCATGGATTATATAGAACTGTATTGTTTAATTTCAAACATGTGGTTTTTTTCTCAATGTCTTATTTTTAATTTCACATTTAATTCAATTTTGGTCAGAAAACATACTCAGAAAGCCCTAAATTCTGAATTTACCTCTCTGGGTTTCTCTTCTCCCCCAATACTCTTCACCATTATATCACCTGACTAGAATCCTCAAACAGATTTTTTAAAATAATATTTTGTCTGGTATTTCTTACTGTGTTAAGTGGGAGAGTTAATCCAAATTACTTAGTCCTCCATTACCAGAAGCCACTATATTTGCTTTTACAAACTGTATCATTCAGACAAAGTCAATCATTTAACATAAAAGCTATGCCATAAATGCTTTTGGTGGGATTTTTCTGCATGGAATGGACTGGCTTACTTCTTGAAACATGAGTCAAATGAAGTTTGGGCCAAAGGTATTTTCTCCCTCTCCTAGTACAACCTTCAGAATCAAGCCTAGGCACTGTTTTTACAAGGACTTCCAAGAGATGCTCAAAATTGGGGTCCTCCGTCTCAACAGTTTTTCATTGCCTCTTCAGTTTACAAGAACGTCATTGACATTTATTAACTGGTAATTTCTGAGGAAGGAGAAATTTCATTTCTTCCTCTTCTTCCACTCCTTGATCCTTGTTTTATCAATCTAAAAGACTCATTTTGGACTGCCTTCCTCTTCAACAATTAAATATAATATTTTCTAGAAAATTCTACAATGTTCTACCTACCTGACAGTTTTCCTGAAACCCCAACATCATTTTTAGGAGGGAAAGCTTATTCCTCATTCTTGTCTTATTCTACATGGAGGGGCACCATTCTTTGTAACACTTTGGCCTCACTCAGATTGGTGAGTTAGAAAAGAGAAACTGGGCATGTGCAGTCCAGCCTCTTCTGCTGTTTCTCTTGGGAACAGGTTGCCCTGAGGAAGTACACCTTCTGTTATGCTCCTCCAAGAGCAAAAATTCCCAAGTCAATTCTTCTGGTTGGGTACATCTATCAAAATCTTAGGTTCAGGATTAGAAAGCCCAAATATCAAGTTCACCATTATTAAAGGAGCTATTTTGGTGTTTATCTGCCTTATTCTTTTGCCTTATTTCTCAGTACATTCAGAAACTAGGATAGGCTAGGAGGGTACTATCTACCAGGCTCCTCTTGAATCCAGTAGATATGCCAACCAATTCTCTTCCTGAAGTGATCAATCCATTCTTTGTTTAAAAAGGAAGGTTCTCATGTTCTCAAACATTCCATAGAGAGACTGTGGCTCTACTGAAGTCATTCCTTGGTGTACAGGCACACGGATATAATGCATTCATCGGAAAGTTTTTCCACCTCGTGAATCAGCTCATCATAAGCAGAGGTCTGGAGTCTACCCTGTAGTGTGATAGGACAGAACTGAGCTCACGTTCCAGTTCTGTGACTTTAAGCAGACACTCGGCCTCTCTGAGTTCCCTCCCCTGTGAAAAGAGAGACAATTGATGCCCATCTTCAAGGGTTGTTAAATGAAGTAACATATCGAAAAGCCTGAAATGTAGTCAGGACTCAATAATGGTGGTTTCTTTTTCCTTCCAAAAAAACCAACTGGCCCAAATTTTCTTGATTATCTTAGGAAGTCTTGGGAAAGACTCTCAATAGTGCTGAAAACCAGAGAAATAGGAAGACTGGCAAAAATGAAACAAAACAAAACAACAGAGTTTAGAGAGGGAATGATTCGGTAAAGCATCTCACATTCGTACAACTTAATACTTTGCTAAAGGTCTCCCCCAATTGTTATTCAATTTGAGCCTCACCATAGCTCTATGAAATTGATGGGGCAAATACTATGGGGTCCATCTGAAACATGAGGAAACTGAAGTTAAGAAATCTTATATGATTGCCCATGGCACTTGAGTGTCCAATCTAGTCCTTCTCTCCCATGACACCCTCTACATGATACGGTCACTCTGAAATAATGACCATAATGATGCCACCCACGTTCATATATACCACTTTTCAGTGTGCAAATCTCACATCCATTTTCTTATTTAGTTCTCACAACAAGGATTTCTGGACATTTTACAGAAGAGGAGCCCAAAGCTTCAGCGAGGCCAAGCAGCCAGCCCAATATCACACAGCTAAAGCAGAGGCTGAGCTCAGGCCTTCCGACAAGTCCAGGGCTCCTGTGCTCATGGGTTGTAATCACAGTGAGGATATCAAGGGTTATGGGAAGGTGGATCCACGTCTGGGGTGGGAGCGGGGCACACATTCTTCAGCCCTGGAGGAATGCTGCACACATGTGGCCCTGGCCCTCGCGGTCACAGCGACTGGTACAGTCAGCACTCTGCCCAGGTCATTTAGTATAATCTGCAGCAACGGTGTGATTTATTGATGGCTTTTATTCCCCACTGGGATGGCATGAAAATAATCAGATGAATAATGAGCTTGTGAAGATGGATGCACTCTGAGCCAGCTACCGCAGAAGGGAATTATATGCTGGGATTCTGCCCGGAGCAGCCCAGGACGATGGATGTTTCTGCGGAAAGCTGGGCCTCATTTGCTCCTTTGACAGCAAGTTGCTTCTCTCTGTGGACACAGAGAGGCTTAAGAGGTAATAGTGCTGGCATCTCCCTGTTCCAGGGGCAGAGATGTGATGAGCACTGATGGGCTCAGGGATGATGGAACAGAACCTCATCCTGGGGGACAAGAGCTGCATTTAACCCTGGGGTAGCTGGCAGGAAGGCCACCCCTCCAACATTTTCCAAGCATGGGTAGCCACCCTCCTTGATCACAAGCCGTGGCACTTTCCTGGTGGTGCAGCCATGCTGTTTTACTTATCTATTGCTGAATCACAAACTACCCCCAAACTTAGGGGCTTCGAACAACAATCATTTTATTACTCACAACTCTATAAGTCAGAATTTGGATGGCTTCGTGGGGAAAGCTTGTCTCTGCCCCTACATTGTGTTGGCTGGGGTGGCCCGACTGAGGCTGGAAGACCTAAGGTGGCCTCCCTCACACTCCTGGGGCCAAGGTGCTGGCTGTTGGCTGGGGTCCTCAGTTCTCCTCCACACCTTCCTCCAGCAGGACAGCTGGACTTGTTTACATGGCGACTGGGTTCCAAGGGCAAAAGTGAAACTCAAGTCTGCCGGGGCCTGGACTCAGAAGTCCCAGGAAGTCATTCTACACATTCTCTTGGTGAAAGCAAGGCAAGACATGAGGCCAGCTGAGACTCAAGGGGTGGACAAATAGACTGCACCTCTGCATGTCACTGCAAAGGGGTGTGGACACAAGGGGTGTGATTCATTGGGGGCCACTGGGGAACAAACTCTGAGATGGAGTTCAGCAAGCAGGATATTTATTAAGGAGGATCCACACCAGTGCAAAGGAGGGGGAGGAAGCACAAGGGGCAGAGGGAGATGTCGAGCTGTGATCAGGTCCAAAGAAAGCCTCAGCCCATGCCACAGGACCTCTAAGGGCAGAATGGCCCTTTAGAGCTATCCTGAGGTGGGCCAAGATGGCCAGGACTCCATACGCCTGAAGCAAAGGATGTTGCCGCCATGGAAAGGGGCCTGACCTTGAGCGAGGCTGTCCCTGAAGGGGCTGACCCTTGAAGGCTGCCTGCCCACAGCACTCCCTGCAGCTGGGAACAGCCCTGCCCTGACGGACGGCCCTCGCAGTGGCCACCAACGTTCTACCACACTGGCCTTCTCCAAGAATCTAGTTTTCTCCAGAGCTCCCATCACTGAGAAGACAAAGCATGACGCCTCGGATTCCCTGGCCACCTCCCTTTCCGGGTCTCCCTCCTCAACATTCCCTCCGCTCCTGTCCAGCCTCTCCCTCCCTGCCCCACCCTGGTGCAGCTCCTACCTGGGTGGCCAAGACAGCCCCCTGACCAGGCTTCCTCCCTTCCACCCTTTCCCCTTCAAAACCAATGTTTCTGCAGCAGCGCCCGCTGTCTTTCTAAAACAGAAATCCGCCAAGACTCTCTTGCTTAATGCCTTTTCTTGGTCCTCACCATCTCAACACCAAACCCCAGCTTCTTGACATGGCTTCCCAGGCCAAGCACAGCTTTGTCCCAGCACACGGCCCAGCCACTTATCCCTTCACTTTCTTCCCTGATCCTCGCGAGCTTCGCACGCTCTCTTGCCTCTGGGCTGCCGTGCAGCTGTTCCATCTGCCTGCACACTCTGTCCTGTGTATTTCTCTTTCCCACCTCTCTCATTCCCCTCTGCTTACTCTTCAGCTAACCAGGAAACCTTCCAGAGCCCCTGAGCCTGCCCCAGGTGGACAAATGGCCTCCCTCACATTCCCCATCCCTCCACTCTCCTGTCCCAGCACTCTGCACACAGGCCCATGATACAGCCCTCTGCATAGGTGCCCGCGATGTCGCTCTGTCTCCACTAGGCAGGGCCCGTGCTCGCTGCACCCCAGTGAGGTGAGCACAGCATCACACAAAGCCACATGCTCCTCACATCAGAGCGGCTCAGTCACGGGTTCTCTGAGCTACGTTGCTGAACTGACAGCTGGAGGGGTGACAAGAGGAAGGGAAAAGAGGCCTGCAGCCTGACGTCCTGAATGAGACAAGCCTCAGGGGAAGAATGCTCTCAACGGGGAGGGAGAGCTACTCTGGAAAATGGGCCTGGCCCACAGACTGCCTGGCCACAGCACAGCGTGGTGAGTGCCCCACTTCAGAGGCAAGGTTGATCAAGGCGAGGGGAGCCTGAAGGACACCCAGCAGGAGTGGATGGGCTATGGAGGGCACCACTTCCCTTTAAGACAGTATCCAGATCTCCACTCCCTACTGGGCTTTCCCACATTGGCACAGCCCTCCACATTTCCTGCTACAGGATAAAATGCACAGTCTATCTTCCTCCCGCCCCAGAAAAACCCTGCCAACCCACAACGCGAGAGACTTGCCCATCATTTCTTGAGCTCTTACTATGAGCTGAGCCCTGTCTAACGCACTTTACAAGGACTATTACCCTCATTTCTCAGGTCAGATAACATAACTGAGGCCCAGAGAACTTAAGTGGCTCACCCAAAGTCCCCACAATTAGCAAATGGCAAATTTGAGATTTGAAACCAAGTCCTGTCTCCTGAACACCTGAGACTTTGTATGAGGCCTAGGCAGGGCAACCTGGAAGAGCCAGAGCTAATGCCCCTGGGAGCAGCCCACAGCCAAAGAAGGATGGGGGCTTGGTGAACAGATGACAAAGTTCATATTTCCAACCTCTGCGATTCACACTGCCTTATACAAATACAGGGCTGAAAGGAACTTGGAGACTACCTTGTCTAACTACCTCCATTGGTATTTAATTTTATTTTGTGGGCCGTTGGGGCTCTGGCTTTAAGATCCATCAATGCGGGGCCAGCCCCGTGGCTTAGCGGTTAAGTGCGCGCTCCGCTGCTGGTGGCCTGGATTCGGATCCCAGGCGCGGACGGACACGCCGCTTCTCCAGCCATGCTGAGGCCGCGTCCCACGTACAGCGACTGGAAGGATGTGCAGCTATGGCATACAACTATCTACTGGGGCTTTGGGGGAAAAAATAAATAAATAAAATTATAAAAAAAAAAGATCCATCAATGCTTCTAAGTGAACATCTGGCCCATTGCTTTTAAATGCTTCTAACGCTGCATGGGCCCTGGTTTACTGCCCAATCCTGCAGGGTGGACGCCCAGATTACAGCTCTCTCCACAAACCACACTGTGATCACCCACAGTCACAGCTCTGTTTTTAAAGGTGAGAAAACAAGGGCCAGGGAGTGGGGAGAAGCTGGCGGCCACATTTGTCCATCAAAGACATCTCCAGTTAGCTCTTAGCAACCCCAGGGGGAAACGCATTTCTCTCTCTCCTAATTTCTGCATGTCCATTCAGAAAGAACTGTGAGTGGCCTTGCTTGGGTGTCACACCCATGACTAATCCCTGGGACTGGGGTATGCTGATAGGCTGAGCCTGGTTATGTGACCACCCCTGGTTTGGTGTAGGTAGAGCCATTCTTTACCTCCATACAAGGGATAGATGGAATGAGTAAGGGACACTTAGTTCTTCGAAGAAGAGTCTTGGCAGAGAAAAACAGCAAGTGTCCACATAGGGCCTCATAGTCACTCCCAGGCTTGGACACCAGTGCTTGTCACAGGGGCAGGGCCCTTCGTTGGGATAGGGCACAGTGGAACTCCTTCTAAGGAGCAGAGGAGTGAGCACACTTGGCCCAAGGCCACCCATCTGGAGGTGTGCATTTCCCGCGGTGTGCTGCCGTGCAGGGCAAAGGAGCCCAGAATGCCTCTCCGGTCCCTCCAAAGTGCTGAGCAGGGAGCAGTGGGACCCGCTTGTTTTACTATTCACCCCTCTCCCCACCTTGGCCCAGGGCGGAGGGAAGAGAAGGTGAGATTGCTAACAAACATCACCACGTTTGCCCAGAAGCAGATTAAGGGGCAAGGAGAATCTCCGGACACTTAAGGGAGCTCCATTCTCCATTCTGCCAAGCGCAGAGTCCAATCCTTGTTGACAATTTAATCTCTCAGACAATGGAGGAGCAAGCACAGCTGTTTCCACGGACTTAATTCTGGTCCACAGAAACTGGCTGTTGAAATGGATGAGAACATAACCATCAACTCAGAATGCGGAGGACGACTAGGTGTGTACCCACATCCACCACACTCGTCTCCTGTCTCCTGTGAACACCTGAGACTTCGCACAAGGCCCAGGCAGGGCAACCTGGACAGACAGCGCCAGTGCCTCCAGAAGCAGCCCACAACCACCAAGGATGGGATTTGGTGAATCAACACCCTGGCTTCCTTGTGCTCCTGTCGGCAGCTCTGGGGTGTTCCCCGGGTCTCCAGGGATCCCCACTGGGATTGAGCTTTCGTTGCCACGGTGATAACCAGCATAACACACACTTTATGTGCCTCCTTCCCTCTTGCCTCTCTTCTCCACTCTATTACCCATTTTTCCTGGGGCCACTTTCCAAAAAAACGACTTACACCCAAGTCCTTCTCTCAGGGTCTGTGCCTGGAGGGACTCAAACTAAGACAATGTAATAACCAAGAAAGTAAATCAGGAAACCTGGAGACATGGTAATAAAGTGGATCATCCTACAGACTTTGGAGTCAGACAGTCTGTGTCTGAATCTGCCTCTACTATGTATGTAAATGTTTAATATTAAAATGAGTGTTATTTATAGACTTTAAGAAGTAGATTTCAGGACAGGCAGAGCTGGAAACTCTAGAAACAGGAAGATGGCTCAAGAAGGATGGAAGGCTTTTACAAATTCTGAGAATAGACAAATAATTCATTCCTCAGAGGCAACTACAGAAACACTGTGGCTTCCCAGGATGCTCTCTGGTTGGGGTCGGGGTGGAGGCAGGGTGGGTGTCAGGTGTTTAAAAGGACAAGGGGCAGAAGGAGTAGCCACCGCAAGGCGGACAACAAAGGCTCCCACCCCCAGCCTGTAAGACATCGTTGGGTGGCCAAACCCCAGAATGCACTGCAGCTTGTGAATATCCCAAAGACAATAGAAAGGGCTTTGTTAAAGTATGTTCCTAAGGAACCAATGGAGAAGGAGGAAGGAACAAGCCTGTGCTTGTGCAGAGTGGGCTATTCACGAGTGACAGAGAGAAAGCAGAACTGCTAAACTCCCCTTTTACTCCTGTCTTTCCTATCAAGGTGAAGGTTTTAAAACATAAAAGGTGAAGACAAACAAAGTTATGAGAAATCAACACTCAACTGAAGTTGCAGCAGGCTTTGGGGAAATTGAGCTGGGAGACGCCGGTGAGGCTGATGAGGGCAGCTGGGCAGGTAGTAACTGGGATTGGGCTGCAGGGCTCTGTTCTTAGTCCCAGCATGTTTTCCAAGAAACATGCGGAATCTCCTAAGCACAGTGCTTGTCACAGAGAAGGCTCTAAACCAGTGGTTCTCTCCCCAGGACATCTGACGACGTTGGGAGACCATATTAGGTTGTCACAACTGGGGTGTGTCTGGGGGTGCTATTGACATCTAGTGGGTAGAGGCCAGGGATGCTGCTTAACTTCCTACAGTACACAGGACAGACCCCCCACAACAAAGAATTATCTGTTTAAACATGTCAACAGTGCCAAGGTTGAGAAACCTGGCTCTAAATGGATGACTACTGAATGGGGAGTAAGCTATTGAGCATCCCCATGTGCCCTGGGAATGCACCGATTAATAAGACAGTCGCTCCCCTCAAGAGCTGATACTCTAGTACAAGAGACAGAGGCAAGTGGCTGTATTACAGTGTAAAATGGGCTTTAATGGAGGGGATATGAGAACAGAGAAAAAAGAACCACCAATCCCACTAAGCAAAGGTGCCATGTGAGCTGGGCTTTGAAAGATGAACGAAAGTTTGACCAGGACACACAATGGAGATAAAAGGTGAACGGAGGCATTAAGCGTGCCTGGTGTGCTGGGGACACGACAAGCAATCTACCCTGTGACTGGAGTGTAAGGTGGGGGGGCACCGAATGCCATGGTAAGGCTCCTTGACTGTCTTACAGTCACAGGGATCAAGAAAGTTGTTAAGCAGATAGTAACATGGTCAGATCAATCTCTTTAAAATAAGAACATATTTATTATCTATTTGGTTAAAAGAAATTCTTCCCTCATGTAAAGAATTAGTATAACATTAATCTCATTCATAAATCCACCGTGATGATCTCACATCAAAACACAGTGGAAGAAGTGAAACTGTCACTATTTGCAGATGACATGATTTTATATATAGAAAACCCTAAAGAATCCACCAGAAAACTTTTAGAAGTAATAAACGAATAT